GTCAGCTAATAAGAGTATGCGCTATAACAAGAATTAAATCCAAAGATGTCATCTTGTTTTTGACTAAATAAAGATGACATAATACCTTCTCAAAAGAGTTTTTCTCAACAATCGTCCAAATAAAAGCAATCGAAGTTACACGCATGAACACGGATTTAGTTATTGTACAAAATGTGCTAATTTAATCGAAAGTTCGCTATTATTTCCACACAATGATCTGTCCCATAAATGTTTCAACTAAGCAATGTTCATATTCAGCAAATATTTTGTACATGCTCAGTAAAAGATCTATGTTATTGTACAGGAAAAAATGGATAGTGTATAATTTTTTCATTTCCATTATAGTTTGACAAAACAATCGAATACATTCATCGCTTGGATCATTATCTGAGTGCAAGGATGTCTCGATCGCTAAAGAGTGGATATTTTGAAAGTAGTTTGTTAGAAGATTTTTCACATCTACTAATCGACGAACACCATGTAAATTCAATTCGATAATGTTGTTCAATGTGTTTCTTATTATGTCAAGTGAAGCAGTATCGCTGATATTGATGTGAAAATGTTTGACATCAATCGATAAATATTGTAGATTCGTCGTTAATAGTAAGATTTGATCAAAGTACAATACGTCTTGTTCGATGTATAATGTTTTGACACACTTTAGCGTTGAATTCACGGAAAACGTTTTACTTCTTTCAACATTTTTACATTTATTACTAATAGTAATCGTATTCACACTTGGGAAGTTTCTTATTAGAATTTGAGAAACGTCAGTGAACGATGTTACATGAGGACATGACCAACAAACTTCCAAGTCTTTGACATTCGAGTAATCGTTTTGATCATCGTAGGATACTTTTGGCATAAACAAATTGAATCCTTCCATTTGAGTGTCTAGCCATGGTAATGTATAAATCGTACACACGTTACATAGTTCGTCTATATTAAAACAGATATTCCACTTCATTCTAGTATCAAAGAATGATTTTTCTATTGCTATTCGATCAGATGGCACTTCCAATGGGAACATAATGCAAAAATATAACTCTTTCAAATTTGTAAGATTAGATAACGTATGATCAATTCTATCACCAGAAATGTATGACGATAAATCATGTCTAGTGTAAAAAACACTCAATTTATTTAAATATACGAGATTTTTAATAATCTTCTCAAATATTTTATAATCAATTAAACCACAGTAAGCTTTTAAAGTAAAATCTCTTAACTGTGGTAATTTCAATGGTAGACTCTAAATGAAACATAAAACCTTGTCATCATAAATATGAATATATGGTCTGAACTATAGCTTTAGTTCAAATGAAAAACTAATCTTTTGAAAAGGTATTATGTCATCTTTATTTAGTCAAAAACAAGATGACATCTTTGGATTTAATTCTTGTTATAGCGCATACTCTTATTAGCTGACTTTTTCCTTCTACAATTTCCATGAGAAATTTATTAATTGTAGGTAGACAAAAAATATCAACAAGTTGATGTTGATTAGTAATAAGAAGAAAACTTACGTCAAAATCATATGTCCCATGAACTATATCTTCACCAAAATCAATATTCATAAATGGTTTGAGCGTGGAAATATTCAAATACTGTAATGATGGAAAATGATCAAATATAATTAGAATATCACTAGTGCGGCCAAGATCAATTGTTAAATGTTGAATATGATCGTTTTTCGTCAATACTTCAGTCGATTTCAGTAGCAAACCAAGCTTTAAACTGCATTTCAATTTGCATTTTTTTAATGACGTCTTCTTTCTCTTAAATAATATGTGTTCTCGAAGAAGCGATGAAACGTGCTCTAGTTCATTGTTATCATTCTGTTCAACACTTTCGAAACGAATTAAACATGTACTCAGGTGAATCGCTAATTCGTATAAATAAGGAAAATATTTTGAATAGGAACTTTCGAAAAATAGAGAGACATCAGACATATTATTGATATATAATAATCTTAGACATTTGACATTATCAAACTGAGAAAATATATCAAGTGAATTAAAATGTTTCAATTGTAGGCAACCAAATATTTCGTTGATGATTAAAGTTTCAACTGATGTACTGACTTTTTTCAATACCTTAGAATTACAAATCCATTCGAATAGTTTCACATTAACATTAAACAAATTTAGATTTAACAAATACTTTCTTTCCAATAATATGTTATCTAAACGTTGAGTGACATCGAACAGTGACTGAAGTACTTCACCTGACTTTAAATAGTGACAGGTCTCAACTAAACATAAATCAGGTAAATCATTAAACGAAGTCATCTAAATGGAAAAGCAATTATCCAAGAAGATTAAAGTAATTCATACTTGAAGGCCGCCCTATCAGAAATCGATGATTTTCTTAAGTCGAGGTTGAGTTTATTACTTAGTTAGGTACCCTGAAGTCTTCTCTTTCAGAATCTGTGCCACTCTCGATCTAAAAATTAATTTTTTGATGGGTTGGAGAGGTTTTCTGAAAGCCACCTCAGTATTCAATCAATTTTTAACTATTTTTTCTTGGTTACCGTGGGCGAATAACCGTGATTTTCACTAGTGAAGGTGTTTACATAGTGTACTTTGTCCTAATCATCATATCTGATAGCTTCTTTTTGTCTTTATAAATATGCATCACACTCCTATATTAAACCTTACGTCTACTACTACGGTTATCCTCAGGCTTGTTTAGCGTTTTTCTTAGAATATCGTTTTGGTGCAGCAAAAATGCTAAGATTTTTCTTCCAGGAGTACAAAGGTGCAGATTTAATTTCGAATGAAAGCGGACACTTTTATCTAAAAATCTATGAAACACATTTTTCAATTTCGCTTCCTATTCCGGAAAAAACTGAAAAATACTATGTCGGATTTCAGGCTTTTTTCGGAAGTTTGATTTAAACTTTCTGCAGAAAATGAACGAAAGCGAAATTCAAAACTGTTCTATAGATTTTTAGACCTAACTGTCCGCTTTCATTTCAAACCATGCACCCCTTTGTACTCCTTCTGGAAAAAGCCTTAGCATTTTTGCTAAGAATCCCGTTTCGCCACTTGTGACCATGACAACTCCGTAATACTTCAACCTTTTGAACTCAAATTTTTGATATAGCCTAGTTAGATGGTAAGCATTAACATACGTAAGTTAATTTCATTATCTCTTTGTTTTTCTTTTGTCTACTATATATCTTTTACTTACCTTCATTAGCAACTCACTCGAAACTGTAAAGATAAATCAAAGGAGTGAACGATGAAGGAAATGAAACGACGATTTCCGCACACACCTTTCATGAGCAATTCGTCCATTCAATATTTGGAAACATATTCGTTCTTATGTACAAAAGTGTGTGTTGTATAGAGAGAGAAATATCATGTAACCGTCGATGAAGAAAAAAGTGGAATTTAGCACAATAGGAAGTATCCTTCATCGATGGTAACGTAATATTTTTATCTGTGTACAGCCTTCCTGATCACGAATGAACAATTTATGGCCTATCCAGTTTGGTTCAATCAACATAAATGTCATATTCAGAAACAGCGTTAAAACTGAGTTTAAAAAAGCTGATCAATTGGACGTATCGTATCCTAGGTTCACATAAAAAAATGAAATAAAATGAATATGAATGTCTCTGAACGTTCATTCTATAGACTATAGTATATTCACATATTAAATAAATAATGCTTTCAGTTAGGGGTGGGACAGTTCCAGTTCTCATTGTTCCTAGTAACTGGTAAAAAGAACTGGTGACCAGTTACCTTCCTAGTAACTGGAACTGGTGACCAGTTACCGTTCCTAGTAACTTG